CAGGGTGCACGGTCCTTGTGGCCATGTTAGGATCAAAGGGTGGTTCCAAGCAGTCAGTGTGGAGCGGACTACGGTCCAGCCACTGCCTTGCGTGCGCTTGATTCCCCAAATAGAGTGTGCGTGTGTTTGCCTGTGAAGGAGTGTGGGCCGGCTCCGTTGATGAAACGTAGCTCCCATCCACATGCCTCCCGGTCTTATTCCTTCCGGTTTACACTGGATATGGGGTGTGTGGTTGGAGCTGTGGGTGGTGCAGCGCAAGCCACAAATGGTCCCTCTATAGGCGCAGGCGTCCTGTGGCTGGCCACCGTGACAGGCAAATCCGAAACCGGATGACGCCAACCATATACATCGTTGGCGGCATCCGGTTTCGGATTTGCCTGTCACTGTGCGCATCCAAAAGACGCCTGCGCCTACAGAGGGACCAAAGGTGGCTTGCGCTGCACTACCCACAACTCCAACCACACACCCCATATCCAGTGTAAACCCGAAGGAATAAGACCGGGAGGCATGTGGATGGGAGCCACGTTTCATCAACGGAGCCGGCCCACACTCCTTCACAGGCTAACATAACCACGCTGCATTTGGGGAGGCAAGCGCACACAAGGCGGTGGCTGGACGGCAGTCCGGTCGACACTGAGTGCATGAAAGCACTGGCTGATACTAGCACGGCCACAAGGACCGTGCACCCCACATCCTCAAGCAACGACCAACTGTATCCTGGAGCCAGTATGGACGAGGTAGTGGGTAATAGACAGGCATCTTGTCAACATGCAAATCAAGCGCAACCACACCGGGGATGTCAAACAACAGTCAATCACTTGAAGCGATGACATCAAATGAAATAAATCAAGCAATGCATACAGATACGGAGACATGACTATTCATTAAATAAGCGTATGAAATAAATTAGTTGCAAAAAAACCGCGAAGAGATAGACGCGGCATAAAATATGTGTTAATAAAGTGCCACAACCTCGAAAATGTTATCGAAGTTAACTACAATTAGCTTAAGCGACGTGTGCAAGTACAGGTAGACATTTATATGATAAAAAGGCGTTAGGACAAGAAAGCAAACCCACCACCAGAAATAAAGAGAATCAGCACGTAAGCACACCGCTAGGAAATCGAACGCAGCGTACCTACAAACGCTGCGCCGGTTCCGCCTACGTTCTCTGCAGGACACGACGTTGCTTCGGTGCTGGCCCCGGGTGGTCTCGCTCATGGCTCACTAGGCCTGCCTGAGTCAGGCACTCGCGACCGCATGTGCTACAGCACCATGCACTCGATGCGGATGGAGTACAACCCATCGGCACCGGTCGCCTCCGCAATGGCCGCGTCTTCTCTGCATGCACGAGTGCTTTCTCTTGCATCTCGGCAACTGCCTTCGTGATCAGATCGCGCCGTGCACGCCGATCAACCGCCTTCCATTCCCATAACCTGTAATCAAGATTAAACTGTGAGCTCACTATGATCATGTTCTAATAACGTAACTTTGGTTTCCTCACGTGCCGCTTCCCAATACTCAGCTGACCAGCCAATAGCTGCTTCGGTATCCGCGTCGAATCCATAAACCACACATGAGTGAAGCACCTCAAGTGTCTCAGCTAAAGTATGCAGTCCACTACATTCATTCACTTCGCCGATACACTTCCGTGTCCGCAACTCTGTCGCATCAACCGATGAGCAGAATCCGTCGCAGACACTGTTGATGGAACCGCTCGAGATATCTCACATCTCGTCGGTACATCGTCCGCGCTTCGCTGTCGTATAGAAAAACGGACAGCACTATGGATTTGTACACCATCAGCTTCGTGCCAACGGTAAGCTGATGGCTGTTCCACACTCAGGACTCTAGCTTCCCGAATGTCGCCACTGCCTTCGAGACGAGGATACGAAACTCACTGTGTAGCTGCTGGTCAGTAGACATCACTTCCAAGATAGCAGAAGCGGAAGGTGGTTGATCTCCAATACTTCGTCACTAATGCTGATTTGCAGCAATATCGCAGATTGCACCTCCGGTGATGGCTGAAAAAGACAGACAGTTTTGCTTGTGTTGATGTTGAGCCCGAATTTGGCAACTGTCGAAGCCAGAGCACTAGTCTTGTGCTACAACTCATCCGCGCTGTGTGAAAACAACGCACAGTCGTCAGCGAATAGCAACATACGGATAGTTGTCTCACAGACTAGGTTCTCGCAACGAAACGACGGATATCCAGCAACCCACCAACAATGCGGTGCTCCACGCGAACACCGTAAGCACAAGCTGCATCAAAAGCCCGCAACATTATGGCATGAAGATATATATTAAACAGGTCAGGAGTTAAGACACAGCCTTGCTTCACACTACAGGCAACTACAAAGTCATCCGACGTCCCTACAGCAGATGCATTCTCACCGGCATAACAGAGTGCATTCAATTAAACTTACATATTTACTCGGATAACCAAACTTACCCGACACCAGACACAATGTCTCGTGGTTCACCGTATCAAATGTTTTAGTGAAATCAACAAAAAACGAGGACAACGGCCGGTTTCGTTCACGAGATTTCTCCTGCAACTGACGAGCCGCAAACACCATAACTATAATACTGCTACTCGAACGGAATCCACATTGCTCTTCCGCCATGTTCGGTTCCACAACCCGACTGAGGAAATGTTAGAGCATGATTCGGGTAATCATCTTGCTCACACAACTCAACAAGTTGATGCCACGATAATTCGTGCAACATTGCTTGCTTCCTTTGCCCATGTCCAGTGAGCACAAACACATGTTCAAACCCATGAGGTATCTCCCCAACATTCCACACGCCTTGCATCAACTGGTGCAGAGCAATCAACGACGCAGGTCCGCCGTGTTTCAATACTTCAGGCGGGATCTCATCGGAACCAACACACTTGCCGTTTCGCAGCTGAGCAAGTGCTCTCTGCGTCTCAGCCAGTGTTGGCATGTCAGCCATGTTCTCCTTTACCTTATGTTGCAACAGGCCAGTCAGTCTCTGAACGATTGTACAAGAGACAATCAGTGATTTTGCCAGACATGCATTATGTATGCAGTCCGTGTGCAGAGAGCGCCCGAACTACCATCGATTAGTGTCCTCAGTGGTTTCAACCTCGGTCTATACACCGCCCTCAAGAAATCAGAGCATTCCTTGTGTTAGCGGCGTTCGGCAAAGCATTCCATCTGTTTCGCCTTCTCCGTCCACCATACATTTTTAATGCAACGGAGCTCTCGAGTCAGTCGACGTCAATGCGCCACGATATATGCGCAACAAATGCCGCCTTCTTCTGGCACCAATGCGCCAGTCGTTGCATTTTTCACTTCAAACCATACGGGGCGATTACAATTTGCGCCTTCGATTGTCTCTTTGGTATCAGCCGTCACCGGGTCGCGAATGTGGTGACACAGGTCGCCCACCGTGGCTATGTATTCCACGTCACACAGGTGTGCAACCATCGGCTTCTCCAACTCAATATGTTTCCCAACAGTACGTACGAAGGATATATATATATATATATATATATATATATATATATATATATATAATATATATATATATGACCATTTAGCCAATGTATAAATTGACAGACTGCCACTATATATCAGGAAAATCAGATAAAGTAGAAATATAGGTAGAAATTCGTCACACCTAGTTCTGCAGTCTGCTTTTCGAAAGGCAGCAGATGTCTAACGAGAGCGTCTCAAGAGAACGGGCCAGTCAAGCTTTTCATCGGATCTGCATAAGAGAGCGAAGAAAAGTTGGAGTCTCGGTGGAGTGTGAGAAGACTGTGATCGTCCGGCATCGAACACCAAGAGTTTGACTCTTATCTCCATCAGGTGCAACCAGTGGGCTGCTGTTGGCGGTGACCGGGAACAACATAAGTGTAGTCGAAGAACGGGAAGTGGGACGATGTGCGAGTGGAGGTTGAGCAATGGAGACAGAAGAGTCAGCGGAGGTAACAAGTAATAGTACAGTCCATAAATGATTCGTCAGTGGGCTGGAGTAGTTGCTTATGGGACCCTGCCCCGAGCATTTGCTCAAGAATCAAACCTACAAGGCAGCAGGGTGATGTGAGAGAGTCGCAAGCCGATGGTTATCTAATGAACAAACAAGTGGTTCATACGTCTTTAGGTCCTGCAAAGGACCAGGGGAATAACACACCTGTGAATTACAATGCCACACTGAGAGATGCAAAAGGTAGTGACTATTTAGTGGCGAGTCACATCTGCCACGTCACAGTGTGGTTATACAGACATACGTGGCTTTTTATAGGGAGAAAGTATGCCAAGGGAAAACGTACCACGTCCTGAAACATTGCCGCAGAACAACTTGCTGGAATAGCGAGAGCCTGTCTATACTGAAATATCATTTAAAAACGTTTCTTTTCTTGCCAAGTGTGGTCAAACTTCTCGACCTATAGCAATCCACGAGCGCATTCACGGAATCCGGCCCGAAAAATATATGACAATATTAACCTACAAATAATGTTACTTATCACATACACATCGAATCATCGCATCACTGTTCCATATTGAATGCAAGTTCATAAACGAAATGTCGCCGAAACTCGATCATTTGATCATTCCACAAAAGGGAACGGAAGACGGACTGTTAGCGTAATGTTAGCGTAATAAGTAAGTCAACTGCGGTAGATGCGCCAAGTTAATCAATTCAGACGAAATTATACCTCAGTTAGTCTTAATATTCTACTAAATGCGTTTGAACTGAAAAAGCCTGTTGACAGCGATACAGCTTCCAAACTAACGTCAACAACTTATGTCACTTCGAAGGTCTACTTGTGCAGGATAGTAGGTGACTCATTCCAGCTTGATCAAGAGATGCCAGAAAGGACGCCGTAAAAAAGCATGTGAGGTCACGCGCATCATTGCCAAGGTAACTGACTGTGAGCTGAGATCAGACGAAGCGAACGGCAAGACTGCGCCAGGCACAAACAACCTGACAAGAGTGTGCACTCAAAAACGTGGGAATCGATGTGTGCGCCGAGTTTGAGCGATTAACAAGTTGCTACAGAAGTGGGTGTGTCGTTTGTAGTGCCCTTCCTTGATGGGATGTTAGGGCTACTCAAGCAGCTAAGCCAAGAAAGCAACGTATTTCGGTGTCCGGAACATACTGTCCAACTGCAACGAAATAAGGATTGGACGAAAAAACTGACTTAAGGCAAGGGTTCTCAAAAGGTATAAGCGGACAGGAACAGAGTTAGAAAAATAGCAGATGTCAAGGAAACTAGATATGCTGAATACCGGCTTTAATGGAACGAACCTTTCCAATACTTCGTATTCACTTCCTGGGTACAAAATGGGGAGGCGAGCACTCAGTAAAATGAAGGTGCGATTTTGCTGTTTATCTGATTAAAAAGGAGAATAGAATATGTGACTTGGATTAGAGTAATGTCAAGTGCAACAAGACAACAGTGGACTGACAATGAACAATTTTTGCGACGGTTCAGAGAAAGACCAAAATGACATTTATAGGCAGTGGAAAAGCAACGTAAAATAGACGAAGATGGAAGACAGGACTCGCCTAAATCGATATTGACAAATAAATGAAATGTGGGAAATGCAATTCAGGAGTTGACAAAGTAGGGAAGCTGGTTGGTCGCAATATATGTAATAGGGGATACGGGTCCATATATTGGGAAGATTCGGAGTTAAGGGGGCTGAAACAGATGGCACCGGCAGAAAAAATCCTATGGGAATAAGGTGATGCGAACAAAAGGTGCTTACAGACTAATAAAGATAACCATCGGTACATGACGGATGACGCTAGCAGTATGGGGATTCCCCGGTTTTGCTGCGTAAAATTATAAACAAATTTAGTATCTCATGGTACACCCAAGCAACAGGTGTGGACTGTTGAACTGGCTATTTAGTTCGATTAGGTGAGTCGAGCATCGCCTTAGCCTGGCGCTCGTTTTGGTTGCAACACGCAATCGCTCGTCACTTTTTATAGCAAGGCTAAAAGGGAATCATTAACTGTACAAAACAAAAGTCGCCCTGTGACCTGATCTGCTTCTAAGAATCACTATCTGGATTCAAGCTAAATGGATGGTTATATATATATATATATATATATATATATATATATATATATAGCACTTGGCCAATGAACAGTTTGCAGAATGCCACAACACATGAAAACACCCAGGAAACGACAAGAAAAAAACACGGAGTGCTGATAAACCTGTCATGGGAAAAAGTCCCACAAGTTCGCCATTGGGTACGGTGCCGGGCCATGTACGATAGCGCATTCAACCAAATGTGCTCACTCTTCTTGGGCCCCCAAGCTGGGAGTATGGAGCGCTCCTCCGTGGCTATCTGCAACGTCAGCGTCTTGACACCACGGAGTCAGTATGCATGTTCGCCACCTCTCCGTCGCTTCCAACCAACGTAGACGCATGCGAACAAAGCGCGGCCGAATAACCGATGAGTTGGCGTACGTAAGACGTGCCCGAGCCACCGGAACGCATGCGATGAAATTATGCAGCCTAGTGGTCGGCAGAGACTGACTGGAAGATTCGACGTCGATTGTCGTCATTGCTAACGCGATGCTGACAGCGTACACCAGTGAGGCTCCGGAGGCAGCGATGATCAAAAATAAACAGTCTTTGGACATCGCTCGCTCGAACAGGCCAGGTCTCGCAGCCATACAGGAGCACTGCTCGTACTGTAGCGTTGTAGACTCGACCTTTTAGAGAAAGGCTGAGATCACGCCGGCGCCAGAGAAGTCGGAGGTCAGCAAAGACTACTCTGGCTTCTGAGCCGCGTAAATGGATCTCATCCGTAAATCCGCTCATATGATGTAACTCCCGAGGTAACCGAACTTGTCGACAATTTCCAAAGGAGAGCCGGATAGAGTGAGGGTAGGAGCAGCTTTTATCCAGGGCAAAGGTCATGCCAAACAGTGACACAGATATTTCCAACTTGCACAGCATGTCCTGGGTAGCCTATGAGGAGTAACAGATTAAAGAGATGTCGTCAAGGAGCCGATCACCCGGGAGTAACTGTTAGCCACTATGCTCATAGTTTCCCAGGGCTCTCTCTAAGATATCATCCATATCGAAGTTGAACAAGAAGCGTGATGTGGGGCAACCCTGTCACACGCCACTAGTGATACTAAAGGGGGACGACAGTACGCCGTACACCCGCACCTGGCCTGAGAATAAATCATCTGAAGGATGTCAACATATTTCACGGGCACTCCCCTTCTCAGCAGACAACTCCAGAGAGCAGCTCTATCAAATGAGTCAAATGCTGCACGTATATCCAGGAAGCAAAGGATGATAGGCCGGCTGAAAGCACGACAGTGTTTAATCGTTTGGCGGATAGTAAAGATGTGATCGATACAGCCCCGATCTGGGCGAAGCCCAGCCTGTTCTTCAGGTATGTGCTGTTCGCGTACTCAACCGAGCCTCCGTCAATGCAGGGAGGCTAGGACTTTGGATGCAATACATATAAGACTGATCCCTCTGTAGTTTGCGCAATCCGTTCGATGACCTCTTTTGAAAGTTGGCACGATGTCTGCTGGGCTCCAATCGGATGGGATGATTTCTGTGGCCCAAATCTCTTGAAGGAGAGTGGTCACTTCAGAAAGGAGAGACGGGCCTCCACCCTTAAAAAGAGCCGGAGGCAGTTCATCAAGGCCGGGAGATTTGTGGCGTTTCAGAAGTCGAAGCCCATAGGCAACCTCGACCTCAGATGGCAGAGAGATGATTACACATCATGGAACACCGTGGATATGAGGATAGCAACACGGAGGCAAAGATGGCCAGTCGAACTGCAGTTCGGCACTCTGCCAAGGAAAAATTCGGCGCTGGTGATTCTGAATTGGTTCACGGCTGAATTCACACATCACTTCGTTTAAAGTTGGTTTGTTGCCGCCGGTAGACCGGGTAAAAGAAAAGAGTCCGCAGAAGTTACCCGAGGATACAGCTGCGTCCACTGAGTTTGGCGATAGTTCCTTTGGAGCTGTTTGAATTCGGCGTTGGTAGCTCTGCGCAATGATGTATACACAGCACTAGCAGGAATTGTCCGGCGGTCTTCCATCAATTGAAAAGAGTGAGCGGAAATCCACTGGTGGAAGGTGTGTTTAGTGAAACCGCAGACGACGTTGGCGGACTTGTGTATGGCACTCCAGATATGTGTGCAATGCGCCTCAACACTTGGGAATGGAGAACTTTTAATATTAGAAGCTAGAAAATGCTGAAAGACAGAGAATATTTGGAGCGACAAGTTTGGCTACATCAAGTCGTTTCCGACGACGGTGTTGGGTGCCACCAAAACGGAGGGCAAGTTTAGCGCACACAAGTGCGTGATCAGAGGTGAGTTAAGTGCTGTAAATTCATTTGCAGTCTATTGTACAGCCTAACCAACGGTAATTGATGGCGATATGATCAATCTGCGTCCACGCCTGTCCAGGCGGAGGTCGCCAGGTGGCGCGTTGGCGGCATGAGCGTCGAAAGTTTGTGCTCGACAGCGATCAGTACGCAACTGTAGAAGACGTTCACCATTCTCCGTCCTGTGAGTACCATAGTCGTGCAGACCACTGACTTTACGTTCGTCAGCACCGAGCGGAAAGTGCAAATCCAACCTCACGTTCACGTAGCGCTGATGCGGCGTTTCCCAACCAGTAGACCGTATAGCCAGCTCAAGCTTCATGCAGCTTGCCTTGCTCAGCGAGCTGCGTCTCACTGAGCGCCGCAATATCGATGTGGTAACACGCCACCTCCATCGCGACCAATGCAGTACGTCGCTCGGGGCGCTCACTCGACTTCTCGAACAGTGTGCGCACGTTCCAACGCAGGCATACGATTGCATTGGTGGGCAATTGCATGCGTGATGGTGGTTTTTGCCTCGGAGGTTTGCTTGAGGGACACCACCCGGAGCCTTTCGCTCAATGGTCTGACCCACATTGCAGTGGGTGATTTTGAGGTTTGCTTGAAGGACACCGCTCGGAGCCTTTGACTCAATAGCCTGACCCACAAGGCAGTGGGAGCAAATCCAGCTCGGGAAGGTGATTGCAGAGACAGAGCTGCATCTGCTTGAGATCCGTCACACGCAGTCTTTGAGAAGCTGGAACGATTCATATATGTTTTGCGACCGTAGTAAGATACGCACCTGTGTCATCCTTTCTCGAAGGTAACAAACTTTCGAAACATAGTGTGCCTAGAGAGAGCGTGGCTAGAGGGTGAAGATAAGCGGCATGGGTATGGACAAAGAAACAACACAAACGCCACTGATGCCGGCTTTTGACCATGTCAACTAGTATGTCCAGCCAGACGTGTTCATCGTCCTCTGGTTCCCAGAACCCCATTCGGAAAACACAAACCGACGCCAAGTTCAGAGTAAGAGCGTTCATTCCACTTGAACAGGACATCGATTGGCATTGTTCCGCTTCTTCATTCTACACCCCCAGTGGCGCAAACAACGCACGATGCAGGAGTCAGGGTGCTGCACGCGCAAGACGCAGCCCAGCCATCGGAACCTGGTGCCTAAAATGACGGTGCTGAGCGGTCCGCTCGATTTTCCTGTACCAAATACACGAAGTCGAACACACTCATTGCTCACGCGGTGCGCCCAGTAGACATGAGCTAAGCTGCGAAGGCAACGATGATCCAACCCAATTAGCCTCTTTACATCTACCGATCAAATGGGCCAGGTCTAGCAACCTTACAGGAGGGATGAACGGACAGCTGCATTGTAAACTCTGCTCTTCCGGGCGAGAGTGATGTCGCGCCAGCACCATAGGTGGCGAAGATTGGCAAAAGCGCTTCGAGTACTTGCTATGCAGCTGGTAATCACATCTTTCATTTCACTGGCGTTAATAAAGTTGGTTAGATATTTGTATTTCTCGGCAACTTCTAGCTGATAACCACCAAGAGTCAGCATAGGGGTGCGTCCCGGCCAATGATGCAGAAGGACTCTGCATTTTGGCGATGCAAAGCGAAGCCCGAAATAACTAACAGCCCAAGATAATTAGTCTAATGTTCCTTAGCAGATTGGGGAGTTGTCAAAGATAATGGCGATGTTGTCGGCATACTCCAAATCAAAAATGTCGATCGCCTGGAAACAGCTACACACCTTCAACGTAGTATCCAATGAACTGTCCCCATGACTTCGACGGTAATAAAGTTAGAAAGGAAAGGTGACAGTGAGAACACTTGTCTGACACCGCTGGAGATATTGAATGGCGGTGAGAGCTTGCCGCAAGCCCTCACGCTGCCCGAGATATGCGCGTAAAGCGCTCGGATAATGCTTACGTATTTTTCGGGGTACACTTTCTGAGTAGACAGTCCCAAAGGACGCATCGATATACCGAATCAAAGGCACCTTTGATATCGAGCAGCAC